TTGGACATGTCGAGAGTTCAAAAGATCGGAAAAAAGCACAGCGGGTTTTAGAACATCAAGCCAAAGATTTCTAGTAAGTCGCTTAGATTTTATTCTTTAAAATAGAAAAAAAATTATAATTTAAGTATGTCTCAATTTAGTCTAATTGTTAAATATACAGGTGACAGCTATAATTATACAGGTCAAATTTACAGTAAATATAAATATTTATATATAGATATTTTTGGGAAGTTGTTCGGTGACCGTTATACACAGGATGACCGCTATATACAGGGCCGTTATATACAGGTGTGACTGTTTATTTGCATACCGTCATCGCGAGGAGAATAAACGTACAAGTTGGAACCGTTTCAGTTACTTCGTTGTTTGTTTCGTTATTTTACGATTGGTACCGTCAACCGATTAAAACAATATGGAAATACCAAAATAGCTTGTTATTGTCCTCGTTGATTAATTTGCAGGTGAAAATGGGATAATGAGAGCTTAAATAAACCACTACGACAGCGCCAACAATTAACGTGAAAAGATTTTAAAGTTCGCGTAGTCTGGGCAAACGAGCGGCTGATTTTTCCGTATTCATTTGGAATTGATCGCTGTCATTACAATTAGCCTGAGCACGTTTTTAGAACCATAGGCGTCACTGAACAGATCTCGACAACTGCGAAATTCGTAGGAAAATTATAAATTCATCGTCAGCATCGCCGTTATTGCATTATTGCGTCATTACTCCCTTTGATAGGACTGTTCCTCGTGTTTCGATAGAGTACCTATAAACATGTACGGTAATGGGGAAAAAAGAAATTCTGGGTCACCATTATTTGTGTTTTTACTCGACAATTTGTTTTTCTGATTATTTACCGTATATTTTGGACCGGCTGCACCTTCTCTTTTATTTACTTTTCTCATCGTTTTACTCGTTCTGGTCAGTTCGTTGCTTTGCTCTGTTTGACATCATGATTGTCTCGACGGTATATAATGGTCAGAGTGGCTTAAGTTAACATACCGGACTAGTACTCGTAGAGATATGGGGTCGAATCCGCTTGGGCAATTACATTTCCTTTCCCCTTCACACCTTGTTTGCTAAAACTTCCATTTATTTGGCAGAAAAAATAAATTATGTGCAAAGTGTGCATATTTTGCTTACCTTTAGGTATCTTGGCAGCTACACGACTTCCGCCCGTGCTTTGAACGTTCACCGGATCAGAAAGCACGACACCAAAATCGTTCCTTGGAGTCCTTTCAATTTTTCTGTACTGTACCGAAACGACGCCTTCTCCTTCAACCCGAAGCACGTTGTTTTCGAAGCTTGAATAACTCACACCGCTGCAGCGCAATTTTCCAAGATCTTTCATAAAGTGAATTACGCTAGAATGAAACGGATCTAGAACGGGGAGTTTGCAGGCAGCGTTGCTGTTTGTGATATTTTCTTTAATGTCTCTTAAATTCACTTCAGTTTTAGTCTTCGTGATAGCGACGCCAATTTGATAAGCGACAGCTTTGTAACTCATTGTTCTTGCCATTCTGTGAAATACTAATGCGAATGACACCAAACTTAGGACACCCAACAAAATAGCGAAAATGCGAAAGCGACGATATGCCAGGATGAAAAACCCGCTGCAACCACGTAGACAGAGCCTTGTGACCATTTTTGCCAGCACACGAAAAATCGATCCAAGCACATTCAGGCAAAGAAGGAAGAGAAACGCTTCTTGGTTCGTTCTCATAGGCACTACAACGTCATTCTCATAGCCAGAAATTCCAAACTAAAGTGGGCGGTGCTTATTTCTGATACGCGCCAGCACCCTGTCAATAAAGCTAGCGAGTGATTGGCCCATNCCCTTGGTTGATATTAACTGAATTCAGTGTTTACCCGAAATCAGCACGATTTTTTTTTGCCTTTCATTTAATTAAGTAGAATATTTGGTGCAATGGAAGGGCTACTTGCTCTACGAAACCTCGTGGAAGCCAGAGGAGGGTGTCTTACCTCTATGTGTGGAGCTATTCAACAAGCCAAGCCCGGACGTGGCAATTATTAGAGAAAATGTTTGTTCTTTTAGGGTGGCCGTCGAACGGCACTTGAAATCGCGGTCACGTTTGCCAGTAAGGTGGTTTTTTCGGGGGAATGTTTTTCGTTTCTTGTTTACTGGTAAGGGAATTGAGAAGGAGGGATGGACATTTTTTTGAGAAAGATGATTTCAATGCTGTTTATTTTCCTCTTGGCTGGGATTTCAGGGTGGACTCTCATGGCCAAGGAATAAAGGTTTTTTACCCTATGAGAGTTAAAACGTTCATTTCTTGGTCTCCAAAGAAGTATGAAATGGGTATGGGTGGGATTCCTGCTTTGTTACCAAGAGCATATCAGGAGAATATTT